ATACTGATTTTTTATTTGGACTATTGTCCTTGAAATTCTGTCTCTTTCTGAGATGAGGTATTAAAAATTTTAATTAATTTATTTTTAATTGTCCCTCATCTTTCTTTCTATAACATATGAGATGAGGTATTATGTACAATATTTCACATTATTTTTGACCTCATCTTTCTGTCTATATTTTTGAGATGAGGTTTATGTACACTATTTACATTATTTTAAATTATTGTCCCTGTTTTCTGTCTATATTTCTGAGATGAGGTATTATCTGCACTATTTTACATTTTTTGGACTTCACACCTCATTTTAGAAATATTTCTCTAATTAATCCTTTTAATTTACTTAAACTTTGTCCTTTACATATCTATAGGACAAATGATTAGATTTAAAGAAAATTCTATATTTGAATTCTTTGTTTCTGTATATAAATACAGATGAGATGGATAATGTACACTATTTACATTATTTGGAAATCCCTCATTTAGGCCTTTTATTTTTGAATCCACAATTTATACTAAAAACTTATGGTTTTTCATTTCTGTCTATATTTCTGAGATGAGGTATTATGACAATACATTATTTGGACTATTGTTCTCACTATATTTCTGAATTGAGATTTAAATAAGTAAATGCACTTGGATTTTATTCATCTTTCTGTCTATATTTCTGAGATGAGGTATTATGTAATTATTTACATTATTTGGACTATTGTCCTCATCTTTCTGTCTATATTTCTGAGATGAGGTATTAAAAGTACACTATTTTCCATTATTCAGACTAAATGTCCTCATCTTTCTGTCTATATTTTGAGATGATTAATATGACAACTTATTTGACATTATTCATCACTATTGTCCTCATCTTTCTGTCTATATTTATGAGATGAGGTACCATAAATAAATAATTATTCAGACTATTGTCCTCATTTCTTTAAATTTCTGGATGGTTACTATATTTTACATTTATGAAACATTGTGCCCCATAATACATATTTCTGAGATCAGTACATTAGTTATTTACATTATTTTTTATTGTCCTCTTTTGTCTCTATAATCAAGATGAAAATATTATGGAATGCAGTATTTACATTATTCAGACTTTGTCCTCATCTTTCTGTCTATATTTCTGAGATGAGGTATTATGTACACTATTTTCATTATTGGACTATTGTCCTCATCTTTCTGTCTATATTTCTGAGATGAGGTATTATGTACACCATTTTGCATTAACCGGAGAGCATTGTCCTCATCTTTCTTCTATATTTCTGAGATGAGGTTTGAGGCCCTACTATTTAAATTATTCGGGACTTTGTCCTCATCTTTCTGTCTATATTTCTGAGATGAGGTGTTACTCTACCACTATTTAATTATTCACTATTAACTCATTTTCTGTCTGAATTTCCTGAGGTATTATTTCTAACACCCTTTGGAATTGTCCTCATTTTCTGATATGTTCTGAGATGAGGTATTATTTACAAATTTATGGAATTCAGTGTCCAGCATCTTTGGTCTATTTTCTGAGATGAATTATGTACACTATTTACATTTTTTCAACATTGTCCTCATCTTTCTGTCTATACTGAGATGTTGATAAAATAAAATTTTACAATGCATATGTGCAAAATTAAAATATAAAATGGCTGAACATTATTTACCCAACACACATTATTTGACTATTGTCCTCATCTTTCTGTCTATTTCTGAGGTATAAGGATTTAAAATGACTACAAAATTTTATTTATATTGTCCTCATCTTAATTTTTTTTTCTGAGATGAGGTTTAGGCCAGTATTATCTTTCATTGTCCTCATTTATATTTTTAAAATCTATGATTTTTTTGATTTATTTATTCAGACTATTGTCCTCATTCCCAGTACTGAAAAGAAATTTCTGAGAATGAGGTATTAAAAAAAAAAAAAAATTTATTTGACTATTGTCCTCATCTTTCTGTCTATATTTCTGAGATGAAAGTAAATGTACACTATTTACATTATTCAACTTTTCCTATCTTTCTGTCTATATTTCTGAGATAAGGTATTATATACACTATTTTACATTATTCGGACTATTGTCCTCATCTTTCTGTCTATATTTCTGAGATGAATCTACTGTACATTATTTACATTATATCGGGCTATTGTCCTCATCTTTCTGTCTATATTTCTGAGATGAAAAATCAGAATTATGTACAATATTTAAATAATTCGGGCCATTGTCCTCATCTTTCTGTCTATATTTCTGAGATGAGGTATTAACAACACTATTTGACATTATTTCAAAAATTGTCCTCATCTTTTTTGTCTATATTTCTGAGATGAGGTATTCTGTACTGATATTACATTATTCCCACTATTGTCCTCATCTTTCTGTCTATATTTCTGAGATGAGGTATTTCTGTACAAAATTTTACATAATTCATAAGACTATTGTCCTCATCTTTCTGTCTATATTTCTGAGATGAGGAAATTATGTACACTATTTACATTATTTCAACTATTGTCCTCATCTTTGTGTTTATATTTCTGAGATGAGGTATTATGTTAACACTATTTACATTATTCAGACTATTGTCCTCATCTTTCTGTTTATATTTTGAGATGAGGTAATGTTGTACACTATTTACATTATTCAGACTATTGTCCTCATCTTTCTGTCTATATTTCTGAGATGAGGTATTATGCACAATGTTTACATTATTCGGACTATTGACCTCATCTTTGTCGCCATATTTATTACAACGTTTCAATTGTACGCTCCCATTTCTTCAGTTGTTTGGAATGTCGAACTGAACTTTTTTTTCGCTCACTGGGGCAGACTTATTCTAGTTCCACGTGCCATGTTTAATGCATGTCAGTTATTAGTTATCTCCTGTTAATTCCATCTCCAAATTCTCCACTATTTAAACAAATTGAACTCACACTCTTTGGGTCCTGTCACTGGAGCTAACTAACGCCTTTATCTACTGTGCCACACACACACATATATATATGATATATGTGAATAACCTAGATGTTTTATAAAATTAAACCCTGATATTAACATCATGTCATTAAATTGGTGTTATATGAAGAATTAAACTTTAATTTGAAACAAACCTGTCTATATTACATATTATAAGAAACACACGTAGCCCCTTTCTTTGGTCACTCCTCCTCCCCCAATATAAAGTATACTCGAGAGGGTTATGAAATTAATCCCTCCCTATATTCTACCATGTCTCTTTAACTATCCCTCTTACACTCTCTGTTAAATTACAAAAACTTACACTACACATCAATTTTAATTTCATTTTTCGTTTCATTTCATTTTGGGGAGTGCTATCTGATGATTCGCCGTTCTTTAAAAAGTCTCTGGTGAAATAAATTATTATAATGGTACCTTAAAGTGGTCTGTCTTTCCTTTTAATATTAGCTCTGGATTTACATTGAACTCTCAGGATTTCATCCTCCTTGGGATTACACATACGGATTACCGAGTTCTGCATAACTTATATATATATATATATATATATATCTGCATACATGCATCTATCTTTCTCTCTCTCTCTCTCTCTCTATATATATATATATATATATATATATATATATATATATATATGTATACAGAGTACGAGGCACGCCTGGAAAGGTCATATGTTGACCAATATAGACCAGCTGTTGAATTTTGTTATGCTTTCATTTTTTTTTTAAATCTCCCACTTTGTCTTTCTATTTACATTTATATCTTGGTCAACCTATGCACTTTTCATCCGACACTCATATAGTGATTTTCCAAGCGTAGATGTGGCACAAGGCCGAAATTAGGGGCACCCAGTGAGGATCGAACTCACTACCCAGTCGTAATTGTTTTAGCAAGCCAATTTGCTAACCATTACACCGCCTTGAGGTGCCCCTTAAACTTTTTCTAAGCGCTGCTTAGATGTGGCACAAGGCCGAAAGTATGGAGCACCCAGTGTGAATCGAACTCACTACTCAGTTTTAATTGTTCTAGCCAGACAAGCTTGCTAACCATTACACCACCTCGAGGTGCACCATCCGACACTTATATAGATGGAAATGGATTGTTTTTAATGGCATCCTTTAAAAAAAGAACAATTTCTTTAATCCTTTTCATATGAGGTAATTCCAAGAAAGACTATGAAAATGTTATTCAAAACACCGTGAAAATCGAATAATTTTTAGAATAGCTGGCCAAAAATGTGTTATTCTATGGGAATTCGACATCATTGACCCAGAAATGTTAATTCAGATTGAGGAATCAAGAATTTCCGGAAAAAAAAAATTGCCCATGATTAGACGTGCAAGACCTAATCACGTTGAAGCAGACAATGCAAATACCCCAATGTCATATATTATGCATTATTTTAAGTTAATCTAGAGATGTCAGAAATTGATATGAATAAAACGAATTAATTTAATGTCAACAGCAGGAAGATTTTTTTTTATTAATATTAAATATTACTTCATAGAAAAAAATTATCTTTAAAAGTCAAACATGGTGAATCTGCTTCATCATTCATTGAAAACCGTGATTTAAGTTGAAAACAGATCGACTTTTCTCAATTTAACTCCATACAGCCCAATATTACAAGTGTAAGAGTTGCCCGGCTTAGATTGAACTCTCAACAGAGATAAGGAGGAAAAGACAGGCAAGATTTACTAACCACTGCACCATGGTGACCTTAACCAAGAGACTTGTTATATATAAGTCAAGTATATCAGTTGTAATATAACATATTGAAAGTTTAAAATTATGATAGCAATGTGCAGTTGGACAGTGTATTTATAACACTGTCAAATCAATCATGCACTGGCCGTAATTAGTCATTGATTATGGTTATTTCTACAGGAAACATCCACCACTATTCAAGCAGAATTAGTCTTCATTGATTACTAAATCAGAAAATGTAAAATATATTGGAGTTGTGTTCATTTATAAAAAATAAACATGCTTTAAATTATTTCGCTAAGAATATATAGAGTGATAGAGAGAAACATGAGCAGACATATAGATAGATAGATGAGTAGTAACATAGATAGATAGATAGATAGATAGATAGATAGATAGATAGATAGATAGTGTTGTGGTGTCCTCCCGCTAAAGATTCTGTGTTGGACTCTTCCGCCTTCTATAAGTTTAGTAGGAGAGAAGGCCTTGGGGGAGCAGTTGAATAGATTGAACGCATGGTCAACCGACATACACTCACTAGTCGTGTAATACTCTTCTGTTGTACTTACTGTATAATATATGATATGTCTGCAACACATGTTTTAACCATTTACTTGGTCAAAACAGATAGATAGATACATAGACAGATAGATATTATATGAATGAGATAGATAGATAGATAGATAGATAGATCGATATATAGATAGATAGATAGATAGATAGATAGATAGATAGGAACATCATGGGATAGATAGATAGATAGATAGATCGATAGATAGATAGATAGATAGATAGATAGATAGGAACATCATGAGATAGATAGATAGATAGATAGATAGATAGATAGATAGATAGGAACATCATGAGATAGATACATAGATAGATAGGAACATCATGAGATAGATACATAGATAGATAGATAGATAGATAGATAGATAGATAGATAGATAGATAGATAGATAGATATGAACAGTTTCTGATAGATATGATTAAACTAATATATACAAAGTGTAGTAAAAGAACGCCTTTTTATTTATTAACTATGGCTTAAACGATAGGAAATGGGTTAATCTTAATTTCAAGCTGAACTGCGTAGCAAAAACGTGAAGCAATTGATTGGCCATCAATAGATAGCTGAAGTTTTATGATATTAACCCTCTTGCACAGATAGATAGATATTTAGATAGATAGATAGATAGATAGATAGATAGATAGATAGATAGATAGATAGGATCAAAATGAGATAGATAGATACATGTCTATATTTCTGAGATGAGGTAATATGTACATTATTCTCATTATTCGGACTATTGTCCTCATCTTTGTCGCCATATTTATTACAACGTTTCGGCCGTTTTACGCTCCGGCCTTCTACAGGTGGTTGGAATGTCGAACTGGACTCTTTATTTCGCTCACTGGGGTAGACTATTCTAGTTCCACGTGCCATGTATAATGGATGTCAGTTATCTGTTATCTCCTGTTAATTTCCCTCTGAACGTTCTCCACTGCCTTAATTGTGAATTGAACTCACACTCTTTGGGTCCTGTCACTGGATCTAATCAACGCCTTTATCCACTGTGCCATGTGTCCTTGAGCGAAATAAAGGGTTAACTTCGACATTCCAAACAACTGAAGAAGGCCTGAGCGTACAATGGCCGAAACGTTGTAATAAATATGGCGAAAAAGATGAGGACAGTAGTCCGAATAATGTAAATAAGATAGACACATATATACATATATACCTACATAGATAGGATCAGTATGAGATAGATAGATAGATAGATAGATAGATAGATAGATAGATAGATATGATATGATAAGATTGAGATAGACATTAGTTCGCAGTGTGATCCTAAAAGTATCCATCTTTTTAAGTATGGATGCATATGAGAAACTATAATGAACATTTTAATCTCAGCAACTCACTGTTACTTCCATAAAAATAATATGCAGGTCAAATGAAAAAAACAACAACAAAAAAAGAATCTTGCAATTCTTTGGAAAATTTTCAAAAGACAAAGTTTACATCATTTCCCTCGGTAAAAATAGGTTGTGATCAAATCTGATACTTTGAAATCTTTGGCCACGACATGACGCTCAAACAATGGAAATAATATCTGTAAAAGTCAAAAGAGAATGCCAGTCGGCAGCTGTGATGGTGAGTGAATTCATGAAACATTCGCGAGTTTAGCCGCAAGTAAGTAGTAACACGGTGTGTAGACTCTATTGTGTAGAGAGTAGAGAGAAAGACTAATTCTAGAATAGTATCACGAATTCACTCATATCTTACTTGAGACATAATCACTCTCACACACAAACACATTAGTACATACACACGCAAATTACAAACGAACATAAATATATATATATATATATATATATATACATATATATATATATATATATATATATATATATATATATATATATAAGCGTCTATGTAAAAGTGTATGTTAGACAAAGTATATACATATATAAATAAAAAAATATATCTATAAATAAAAAACGTATATATATATATAATTAACCTCACCCCCAAAACTACTACATATATATATATATATATATATATATATATCTATATAAGACATTATATATATATATATATTATATATAAAAATATATACATATATAAATCTATAACTAAAATATATCTATATCTATAATTAAAAGTATCTATAACTAAAAATATGTACATATATATAATTAACCTCATACATATTTTAAATATACACACACACACACACACACACACACACATACACACATATAAACACATATATATATATATATATATATATATATATATATATTGTATTTTTTAAAGAAAATTTTGAATAAATAATTATGATTAAATAGATTACTCAATTCAATTTAAAAACTATCGATTTCGATGAAATTTCATTTTATTAATATATATATATATATATATATATATATATATATATATATATATATTTTCATATAAATAGATTTTTCAATTCAATTTAAAAACTATCGATTTCGATGAAATTTTTTCTATTAATATATATATATATATATATATATATATATATATATATATATATATACATATGAATTAAATTTCATCAAATCGATATTTTTTAAATTGACTTAAGTAAAACTATTTAAAATTCAAGATATATAGAAAAATGAAAAATAAACAAAATATATACATATACATATAACAACACACCCCACACATATCTCATATATATATATATATATATAAAAATGTATGTATGTATGTATGTGTGTGTGTGCGTTTGTGTGTGTGTGCGTTTGTGTGTGTGTATATTATGTATTTGGTAGCAGTTCCTCTTTTATACAGGTTTCGCTAAACACGATTGACAACGTACTCTTATTAAGCTTTTCCTTTAACACTTCCTGTGTTCTTACTAGTGTTTTCTTTTCTGGACACAAAGGTGTAAAAACTGTTCAAAAGTGTTGCATATCTGACTATTTTTGGCTATTCTTTTGGCCATTATCAAGGACGATTTTTATTTTTAACTGAATGTGTGTGTTTTATGCATGTGTTTGAAATTATAAGAATGTTTTATTTCCCGAACACGGTCAGCATATTGTTGACGTCTTCGTTGTTAATCTTATGGAATGTTGTTTCTTCATTCTTTTATTATTAATGCTTCCATTGTTTTTAATATGTGGATGAGGCTATTATACTTGTATTTTCTTTTCTTTTTATGTGTCATGTCCTTCCAGGACGTAGGCGATCATGGCTCTCCACCTCCCTCTATCCCTTTTCGCACTCAATAAGTTTCGTCCCACTTCCAGCACTCCCACACCACGTTCTGTCATCCACTTTCTTAAGCCTGCCAGGGATGCCATGCGTTGCGCTCTCTTGCTTTTCCACCTGTGAGTATCAGATTCTCCAAACTCCACATTCTGATTACGTGTCCCAGGAAGTTCAACTGGCTCTTCCTGGTGTTAAGTATAAGCCTCTTCCTTGTTTGCATCCGCTCCAAGACCTCATCGTTGCTCGCACGCTCGGTCCGTGATATCATCAGCATTCCTCCGCAGAACCACATCTCGGTCACCTCGTGTCTCTTCTTCATGTTTGAAGAAATCGTCCAACATTCGCTGTCTTAAAGGAGGACAAATGTCACGTAACAGGTCAGCACTCTTTTCTTTGTTACCATAGAGAGCCTCCTATCTCGCAAAACTTTGCCCGGCTTTTGGAATGCGTCCTTGGACATCCCAATACGTCTACGGATCTCAGTGTTGCACTTGCCATCCTCTGTCAAAACACTTCCCACATATTTAAACATCTGCACTTGCTTAATTCAAGTGTTCTCGACCTGCAAATTGCATTTGCAACTCATCCTTTTTACTGATGATCATACATCCTGTCTTCTTGTAGTTTATACTTAGTCCTTTCTTCCCACTTTCCATGACTATGCTTTAATCTCTTGTAGTTTTTGCTTAGTCCTTTCTTCTCTCTTTATATGACCATGATTTAGGTCTTTTAGTTTTTGCTAAGTCCCTTCATCTCGCTTTGTATGAACCTGCTTTAGGTTTTCTTGTAGTTTATGCTTAGTCCCTTCTTTACGCTCTCCTTCTGTAGGAGGTTTTGTAATTTCTTTTCCATGTCTGCTGTTTGGACAGTTTTTACGAACCCAAGAAAAAACAAATAAAAAGCTTTAATCGCAGTACCTTGTCAGTCGTTTTTAACGAAACAGTTATAAATAGATATACACGGAAGGATGGGCAAAAGTAAGTATACAGCTGATTAATTGTTTATAAACAGACGTGACTTTTACAGTAGTAGTGGTAGTGCCACTATTCAGAACCAAAGCTAACTTCGCTAAAATTGTTTTTCAACAAGATGGGGCACTTCCTCCTTATGCTATGACATTAAGGGCCTACATTGTCCAAATCTTCAAACTGGATCGTACGACGTGACAGCATTGAATGGCCACCACATTCAACTGACCTAACACCAATGGATTTGTATATTTTTTTTTGTCTGTGGTAGTAAAGAGTAAGAGACGGATCGGAGTTTGTCATCATCATCATCTTGCGGCCTCAGCCGAGATTGAACTCACTACACCTTTCCAGTATTCCTTATCTGTCATAGCTAATACTTTGATTGGTGCAATTCGTAATCTTGTCAAATAGCTGAATTCTTGATGCTTCGCTAAGGCTATCAAGGGTGTTTTTATCGTGACACCATCACTAAATGGATTGCAAACCAAGGCTCAGAGAGACTCCATTCACCCTCCGCAGGTGTTGAATTCAGAGTTTTCCTTCTCCTAGAGCAGTTGCCATCCAAGGCTATAGAACCCAGTCTGCCCTGCTATTTTACCCATAGCTGGAGGGAGAAGAAGAGGATTCACACCTTTCCCAAGGGTATTAGCCCGTAAGTGAATGTAATGGATTCGACTAGAATTCGAACTCGGCTCTCCGATTCCTCAATCCAAGCCGCTATCCATTACTTTGTACTGTGTGTCACGGTTGTCTGGAAAGAATCTAAGGTTAAAGGAGGACATTTCGAGCACTTATACATGGATATATATATATATATATATATATATATATATATATATATATATATATATATATATATATATATATATATAACGGATTCTCATCCAGCTTATACCCACGAACGCATGTGTTTCTCAAGGCTCTATCCTAGGCCCTGCTCTGTTCCTTATCTTCATTAACGATCTTCCTGAGGTCATAGTTTCCCAAGTAGGCGTCTACAATTTACTCCTTCCACAAAAATCAAATCTAGTGTCACCGACAAAACTATCCTGGCCGTTTGTCTTCAAAAGGTTCTCCAATCGGTTGTGGACGAGGCCAGGTGTTGGATGGTTAACATTAATGCCTCAAAAACAAAACTTCTCTCTATTACTCACCACAGAGAACCATCCCTGCCCAATTAGAATGTCTGACGCTCAACTCCAAGAGAGCACGTCTTTGCGACTGCTCGATCTCACATTGACCGCTGACCTGAGATGGAACAAATACTTTGAGTCAGTACCTTGGTCCACCGCAAGGAAAGTTGGCTCCCTGTGTCGCGCCAGGAAATTTCTC